TGACCTTAGAAGAGTAGCCAGTTTGGCTTCGACTGTAGCAGAGTCAGTAATTGTGATACTGAAACTGTGAATAAGTGCACTTGCAAGTAGAGGAGATTGGCCAATAAACATAGGCCTATTCGCCAAATCCGAAACCTGCGTGAATTTACTTGTCGAGTTACATAGGCAACACGCGACAGTTCATTTTGTACAGCTGCTTTTCATGTGCGAGATGCGTTTGTCAAATTGAATTAACCTTTTTTAAGTTAAGGAAATGTAATTAATGAGTTTATGCCAGGAACTATGCGTGGTAACCTTGGAATACTCAGATTCGATAGCGCTGCGTTTGTTGTGTTATCAGAGGGAGGGGAGTTGAGGTCTGAGGGAGTGCATGTTGCATGTTCGTGTGTTGAGGCCAGTTTATGGGCCAGATTGTTATACAATTCGGATTTCGGGCCCTAAATTCCGTGGTTTGTGACAAAGCGACAAGTGATATTTCTTCCGACGTACAACAGACTTCTCGAATATATTTCATCGCATCACTGCAATAAATTACGAGTTCTTTCTGTAAATTAACCACAGAATAATTCCTGTTTGTACTTTATCTCATTTATGTGTTCACACGAGGTTAATAATGTAGGAAAACGTGGAATTAATGAGGTAACTGAGCAAACAGCTCAGCTCTTCTTAGCTTAACCTACAGCTGTGCAAACGTCAGTAAGCATCTACTGGTCGTGAAATGTGGGCACAACCTCTGTTGTCTAGTTGTCAGAGTTCCTGGCTACAGATCCAGTGGCCCGGGTTCTATTCCCCGTGCTACCAGATTTTTTCTGAGAAGTAGTAGGCCTGGAACGGGGTCCACTTAGCTCCTTGAAGATAATTAAGAAGCTCTTTCAAGGAAATACCGGCTCCGGTCTAGAAAACCGAAGCTAACAACCGTGGGAATCCGTTGTGCTGACCACGCGACACCCTCTGTCCGCTAAATTTGGCACTAACTTCGCCGACAAGCGGCGGTCGCTCTGTCGGTAAAGTTCGCTTTTGTTTTTTGTTAGATCAGTTTCGTCTCAAAAACAGTAAGAGTTGGCATGGAGGGGGAAGTGGTTTGTAGGGAATAAATATCGTTATTAATTTTTCCTCATATCGTGTATTCGAAATGACAGCCTTTTCTGGTGAACATTTAGCAAGGTACGACCATGATTCTTTTGTATTTATTGCTAGTGGGGTGGGACAAAGTCCCTTGTTTTGCGGCCACTTCTGGTCTATTGTACCAGCCCCAGATGATAGGTGAGGGTGATTGTGGAGCAATTGGTGGAATGAAGATTGGCAGGGATACTCGGAGAAAACCTGCCCCAGCGCCACTTTGTCGACCACAAATCCTACTTTACCAGACCCAGGATCGAACCCGGGCCGCTGCGGTGGGAAGCCAGCGACTAACCGCTTGAGCTATGGCGCGCTCCACCATGATTCTTACAGACACGCGTGTTGGACCTTAAAATCGAGTATTTTTGTCTTTTGAAATGTATTATGTAGAGAGAGCTTTAGTGGATCTCAGTATCAAATTTAATGAAAACCAGTTCAGCGATATTTGGCTTGTTACATCGGGGCAGACAGAAATTGTGAGGCTAATGGTGCGCAGTTCTGCAACTTTTCTTTGCCACCGCACCACAAGTGGAATCCATCCGTCTTTTTTCGAAAACTCTGTGTTATTAACGAAATACGCGTTGAAAATTCAACGTGACACTCGAGCAGTTTCCATCCCGATCTACGATTTCCACAGATATCCCTTCCATTAATCGACTCTTACAAATTATATTCCTTGAGACATCGTTTTAAATAGCGATTTCACTGCACATGCGCGCTATGAATATGAACAAAGTGTGTGATAAAATAAACATCATAATAATAGACCAGAGGTACTTTATTTTAGAAAGTTTCTGGCTCTGTAATACCAACCGACGACAATAATGTGGCATGTATACCCATTGTCAGGCAATAACCGCGGCACCATTGACTCTAAAACGGCCGTTGCTAGACAATTACATATAATCAACAGAAGAACAATGTTTTCTATGAGATCCGTGCCGAAATATTATAGACAGGACGGTTGATTGGTAAGTTCGTTGATGGTTGATTCAATTGATATTTGCAGTTTTGAGAAGTGAAAATCTGGTAGCTGAGGCCGGGGCATTTCGGGATCACAGAAGAATAGGAACGTCCACCGTTGGAAGCCGCTACGAAGCAACGACTAATGAAAATATAAAGCTGTAGTTACTTTCTGTAAGCGTTCAGTAAATCCGATGACCAATCTGAATCCCGCCTATAGTCAATCAATCACGTGATGTGTTAGCGTCTGTAGTGCTGAAGTCTCTTGCTGTCATCTTCTGGTCCTGTCGTTACTAACAGACAAGTTTTGCTCCTGGTTTCCATGGACAGGGCAACAAGGGACAAAGAGTGCCCCACCTCGAGTATTACTCCTATATGGATTATTTTTTAAAATTTTAACTGCATTGTATCATCTCTAGAAATCAAAATAAGGTACTCTCCTTCCCCCGTACTTTTCTCCTACTCTTCGCGATCTCTGCCTTAGTTTAGTCTTGTTCTGCCGTAATGTCAGACGCTCCTAAAGTGTTCGAGGAGTTCAGCGTCACCTCGTCTTCTCGTGTGTCTTGTGTCGTGTTGTATATTAGCTTTCACTTGCTCTAGTCTAAGGTAACGCAGTGCCATCGATGTTAGCTCAGCAGAAAGCAATGGATGTCTTCTCGAGGGATTCGCCTCCAGCAGCTGAAGTTTCCTGATTCAGGATGTTTGGATTTCAGTGTAGCAAAAGGCGAAGGATGATGTTTTTATAACCAAAAGGAAACGCGTAACAAACCTGTACACAGACGTTGCGTTCTCTTATGGCCGCGCCAGAGCTCAAGCGGTTAGTCGCTGGCTTCCCACCGCGGAGGCCCGGGTTCGATCCCGGGTGTGGTCAAGTGGGATTTGTGGCGGATAAAGTGGCGCTATAGCGGGTTTTCTCCGAGTACTTCGGTTTTCCCCGCCCATCTTCATTCCACAAAAGTCTCCATCATCATAATCACCCTGGGCAGGTACAATAGGCCAATCACTGGCCGCCGTGCCGAGTGGACCCAGCTGGACTCCATCCCCCACTAAGCGAATTAAAAAAAAATTAATTACGTTCTCATATACCGTTACTTTACTGAAGATATTAACTAAACATTTTTATTTATGCAAATTGTCTCCATAAACTTCTCGAATTTAATCAAAATTATTCCAGTCGTTTTAGAATAAACCGCTGTTTTGTATTTGGAGGCCACGTGAAGAGCAACTTATTTTTAAGTCTAGGAAGTTTACATTCACTCAGCATAACTACAGGTAAAGTTGTCCCTGTCCTTAACTAATTAAGCACTATGCCATGAAGGCGTGTGGGGGAGTGGATGTATAGACCCACGTTTTCTTGACCTCGGCACTACTTGGAGCTGAGTGGTCAACTTTACGCCCCTGTCGCTTTACCCCCGGGGAAGGAAGGAACCCCCGGTACCCATTGGATATGAGCCTGGGTGGACCCCAGAGCCGGTCTGGATGACATGGAGAAGAGAAAATTCTTGACCCTACCGATTCGTCAGCCGTATAGCCCGTAGCCAGTCACTACACCGACTGAGCTATCGCTGCTCATCAACCTATGATAGACAGACTCTTAAACACGTAGTAGGAGCAATACCTGCTCAACTGCTGAGGCGCTAATGAGGCGAGTATGGCTGATATAAACGAAAGGGGTGCTCTGAGAACGTGTAAATTTACCAAAATCCCTAGATCGAGATTCACGATCACAACTCTGTCTCATATTTATCCTTCGTATTTGGAAAATTATAAACGCAAAATACAGGGTGTTTTAAGTTAGGTGACGTTGGTGGCCATGAAACTCCTTCCCCATATTGAGCAGGATTCAGCGACGACATGACTCTCTGCTCAGAGACCACGAAGAAAATTCGAAATACGGCATTTTCTGTGGGAAGTTTGGCGCCGACTTGTCGATACATGGCGAACGTAACTGTAACACTGTATTTGCATCAAGAAACTGACACGTTTATTACTCAGCAGCCTGAATTATACGTCAGCAGTGACTGTACAGCAGATTTCGTAACTTAAAATCTACTTCCCCGGTAATTCGTGTTGTGTTGTCGGACACAGTATACTCGAGGATTCAGGTGACCCTGTGTTTAGCGAGTCCTCCAGCATGGCTCTTCTGTTTCCTGTTGTATGCTGAAACTCGAAACTAGTAACTCCGTAATGACCGTGTAACGACCTGTTCTGCTATTTGATCCTGACTCACCAGTAAAGGTTTCAAGACACAGTATGTGAGATCTAAGATCCTTCGGGAAGTACATGTTGTCAAGTGTAGAGGGTGCGCGTGACTTATAAGATGGGTTTTGGATTTGATTTATTGCACCTTATATATTCACAGCTTGGGACTACAAGCAATAGAGCGCTGTCGCTGATCTACACACTTTACAATTCACCGTTACACACGTACTAGGATTCTCAGTCTTCACTAGTCGTGTCCTGGCAACGGATTTATCACATCTCACTGTAACTTCAAATCACATGTAGTGTTATTTTCACATCCTAGTTCTCATTTTATCAATATTCTGCAACTGCCAACTTAAATTCAAGTTCATATCCCGGCAGGCTCGGACTCGGAACTCGACTCTACTACTGATCTGATCGCTTCTTTATAACCACTTTACACGGACCACACGACGAGCACAGCCTCTATTGTTAAGAAGGCTTGTTGACTGGACCGTTTCTTAGCAATGAACATCATATTATTGCGCGCGTACCTTGCACGGGAATATGTTACAGAGTCATTGCCTAATAATGGTCAACACGTCTGAATATCGACGTTACTGTCGTCTGGGATACGACGCCGTGTAGTCTTGTAGCTATCAACTTACAAGACTGCACGGCATCACCTCCAAGAGGACCGAAGTATTAACGCTGAAATCATGGTCTGTTTTCAGAGTATCTCATGTCGGGGAGTCCGCGGACGTACCCCACCACGAGCTCGTGTAAAGCACCGAAATCACCAGCTGGGGTGCAGATGTCAGGAGGTGGACCCAGTAGCAAGGATTTTCTGCAACCTGGTGATACAGCGGGACTTGCTCCGGCGTCCAAGACTAGCACCGTCACCAGCCAACACCGGTGAGTGAGCAAGTACAGTCCGTCTTGTTATTCTTGTCCGCTGTCAGTAGAATGCGCAGTCGGTTTGGTCGAGTCCAGTGAGAGGATTGTAGCGTCTGTATGGGTTGTAAGGGGACCATATAGAATATCAGTGTCCCTCCCAGACTACAGTTGCAGCCACTTCCCCGCTACGTTTTGACCAATTTCTCGTGCGCAGCCGAGAAATCAGACGTGAACACACGGCCAATACTTTGTGGCTTTATCCTGTTTAGGAACTTATATAAACAACGATGACAAAGAAGAATTTGAGAGATGATCAGATTGGAATATTAACGGGGAAGATCGTCAAATAAGCCCATTTGGATGAAATACATGGGTTTACTGAAAGAGGATCTGCCCGAATGAAAAGGAATTGATTTAAAGGCAGTGAACATGCTTTGTCATATAGAGGGTGTATGGTTGTTTTCCTGAAGATACCATCTATGGATTGTGAGCCGGGATAGCTCAGTCGGTATAGCGACTGGCTACTGGCTGGACGACCGAGAGGTCGTAGTTCGAGTCCCGGTGGGGGTCAAAAATTTTCACTTCTTCATGTCATCCAGACCGACTTTTGTGTGCAGCCAACCTCCTACTCGCCATCCAGACCGACTTTTGTGTGCAGCCAACCTCCTACTCGCAGGGTACCGGAGTTAAAGCAACCGGTGCGTGAAGCTGACAACTCACCTCAAACTAGTGCCGATGTCAAAAAATGTGGATCTACACATCCACTCCCCCATACGCGTTCATGGCGTAGTGCTTAAATAGTCGTGCACATGGACAACTTGACGTTTTATGTAATAATTCAGAAACGAAGTAGGTGCGGTTAGTCTCAGATGCGAGGCTGATGTTTTTAGTCCGTGTAGTACTTTCGACAATGGTGCTGCCTCGTCTTCTCGACTACTGAATACTTATACGGAGAATCGAACCCGAATTTCCTCCTTTATTTTGATAATTATAATTTCATGACGCCCGAAAGTTCTTTGCTCCATTTTATGTGCTCAGAATTCTAATATCCCAGAAGAATAAGTGAAGAGGGGGGGAAGTAGATTGAGTTGGTTTTGGTAATGTTTCATAAAGTTGGGAAGGGAAAGCGTGTTATTGGAACACGAAGAATGGGCGGACGGTTAATGCAAGCAAAGACACGATAGAGTAGATCAGTGGGGAAGGCGGGCGTGGTGGGATGAGAAGGTCGGCGTGGCGTCTGGTGGAAGGGGTATTAATTGAGTTTTAGATACGGATGAACTTAGAGACACGTGTTTCCTGTTGCACGCTAATCGAGTTACATAGCCTGCCCAATCCAAAATGTTTACGGGGATATTTACAGAACAAATTAACAGTTGGTCTGAGTGTGCAGGATGAAAGCTCAATATAAAGATGGCTAGTAAATTATTTTAAATTGTAGAAACACTTGAAAATGTGGGACGGGTGTGTAAAATGGAGACAGGACTGACTGCCTACACAACGGCATAAAGGAAAATAAGAGAATGAGTAATCCAAAATTAAGTAAACAGCAAAAACAGCAAACATGTTGGTATAGGAGTAAATTTCTAGTTTCATATTTTGGATGTATCGATCAAAACTCTACCGGGGCACCCTCTGTCCTGACTGAGATGTTCTGTGTGTTTTCTCAGTACATAACTTGTACTCCTCGCCAGTCCTTCAGTCGAGTAACATAAGCATGGAACGTAGCACGCATGGGGAGAAAAGGAATTCATGTAGTAAGATCAACAAGTTCGTGACGATGCTACATTGCTACAAGTAAATGTGCTTCTGGACATTATCCGTCGTCCTGTCTATTTTCTAAAAAAAAACCGTCCTGTTTATTTTTCAAAAAAACAACGTTTCGGAAACTGGATTCTGTCCCCGTCCTCAGTTGGGCCCAATAGATAGAGCTAGCCCCTATCTCCGGGGACAGAACCCAGTCTCCGAAACGTTGTTTTGAAAAATAAACAGGACGGTTTTTTAGAAACTAGACAGGACGATGGATAATGTCCAGAAGCATATTACTTACTCTGTAGTGTTTTGAAGGGAAAGCCAGATTGGAAGAGACAACTAAGAAGACGTAGACCTACGTGGGAGGATAATATTAAAGTGGATTTTAGATAAATTTGTTGGGGTTATATCTACTTGATTCGTCTGATCCAGGATTGGGACTAGTGACAGGATCTTGTGAACACGGTGATGAACATTGGAGTTGCATCTAATGTTGGGAAATTATTTAATAATTGAGAGACTGGCAGCATCACGAAAAGGACCCATCTTCACTCAGTCAGTTATAGGTATATGTAATATCACATTAAATAAATTAGTATGGAATTGTCTGTATATGGGAGTGTGTTTAATTCGTTTTGAATCACCCTGTGATAGAATGAGGGTTTAAAATGGAGGTTGGAGAAACGTATTGCTGTGGGAACAGACGTAAGCCCATGAAGAGATAACTTCAGGAAAAATTCCAGTCATTAAGAGAGACATGTTGAAAGAAGCCTTGTCCTTAACACTACGAATGCTCGCTTGTATAACCTGGTTACGCAGCCCAGAGTTCATACCTGCAGTAGGCAGTTCAGGAAGGCGCCGACGCGTCGCGACGTTCAGATACCTGCAGCGATGTAGGAAGAACATTGTGGTTACCGTGTCGCTGCTCACTGCAACCCTGACTTATGACCCCTTGCACATACGTGACCACTTAGGCCACTGTCGCTCCGAATTTTATTGCAAATGGCAAAGAGCAAAGTAAAGGAGTTTTGTGTCTCGCGATACGGGGCGGAAATTTACGTGTTGCGGGATTGTATGGGGTTCTGGAATAGAATATACAACAAAAGAGAAGTGGAGAAGATCAGGATGTTGTGTCGTGACGTGGCACGGTCTCGCGTTTTGCTTCCTGAAGGAGAATCAGAAACTGGAGACTTCCTGACGCGCAAATAAGAGCGCCGTTGCCGAGAGTGCGACTTCCTCTCAACGTAATGTCACAGAATACGGGCTTAGAAGAGGCTCTTGTCGAGTCCATTAATTTGTTAGGATCTGGGGTTCTCAGAGCTGTAACAAAGAACAGTATTTTCTTGCGGCGTGTGACGCCGTGTAGTTCAAGACTTTTCAAAGGAACATGTCGCAACAGATTTGAGGTACGAAGAGTAATCCGAAACAATGTAACAAAATTCGTCTATTTTGAAAATATTTTTCATTTTCTTTAACAGATGCATCTACATAGAGTCATTATTTGATTTAAAATTTATGTTTAAATATTCAACAACAATTCTATAAATTTCTCCGAAAATTCTGATCCTTGTCTTCAATTTTATGAATATATAAGTATATAAAGGGCCGCGCCATAGTTGGAGCTGCGGCCCGGGTTCGAGCCCGAGTCTGGTCAAGTGGGATTTGTGGTCGACAAAGTGGCGCTGGGGCAGATTTTCTCCAAGTATTTCGGTTTCCCCTGCCAATATTTTTTTTTTCCTTTTGTTTTTCCCTTGGCACTACAGACCCAGTAGGCCTAGGCCTGCCTCCATGAACTTCTCCGTTCACTTCGGTTTTTCTCGATCTTACACATTCGGTAGGACTCCTTGGGCGGGTGATCAGCTCGTCGCAAGACCTCTACCTGTACACAAACACAGAAAAACTCAAACATACAAACTAAACATCCATGCCCTGAGTGGGATTCGAACCCACGATCTCGGTTTCCAAGCGAGCGAAGACAGTACATGCCCCTTGCAATCTTTGTTCCACCAAATTCTCCATCATCATAATCAGCCGGGCCAGGTACAATAGGCCAATCAGTGGCCGACGTGCCGAGTGTACCCAGTTGGACTCCAACCCTCACTATGAGAATAAAAAGCGTATATATATATATATATATAGAGAGAGAGAGAGAGAGACGACATATCTCAGTCGGTATAGCTACAGACTGGATTGCTTGGGTTCAATTCCCGGTGTGGGTCAGAAATTTTTCTCTTCCCCACAGCGTCCAGACGGACACTGGGGTCCACCCGGATTTCTATCTAATGGGTACCGGGGGCTCTTTTCTCTTAGGTGTAAAGTGGCCGGTCCGTAAAGCTGGCTTTTCAATACGCCTTTATTTCGTGATGTTTAACTAATTAAGCACAAGGACAACTTTACGTATAATTGATACGGGTGTCTCAGCATGACGCAGTTCCTGTCTGGACAATATAATGTCTAATTGTAGGGCGATGAATGAATGATGAATTGCAGTGTGTGTGGGAGGAAGGAGTCGAGTCCTAAGCCTTACCTAATCCCCAAATTTTGCTGGATAACAAGCGCTGCTCCGTGTAGCGGTATATAAATAGGAACGTCGGTTTCTAGTCCCAAGTGTACATATGCCACTTTACCATAAACCTGTTCTTGCTCTGTTTTGAAAGCCTCCCCCCTCTCTCGAGCAATGTGCGCGTCCCTGACTGCGATGTATACTTACCGTTACCATGGTGATAAGCTTACTCTCTCATTTTACCTCCCTACAAATAATTGCTTCCCAACTGAGAACAAGAATGCTACATATCTAGAAAGTGGCATGCAAATTTAAACACAAAACGGTTCACGAACAGCAAACACAGGAACACAGAGGCTCTGTGTGTATTACAGCGGGGAGTGTATTGTCTCTCCCATTCACGTGACCGCACCCCATTTCCGGTCCGACAAAATTCGTGCGTAAGTACGTCGTCGGTCTTTGGAAGATACCAAGTTCGACTCTCATAAGAGGTACCGAATATCCTTACGAACGGTTTGCTTCCTTCTTCATGTTCATTCGTTAATAATGTCATGTTTTATGGATCACAGTCCTGTTAGGGGCAAAAATGTTCTTTCCACAGAGTCCAGACCGGTTCTGCGTCACCAGGTCTCCTATCCAATGGATACTGGATGCATTTTCATTGGAGGTAAAGCGGTCAGAGCGTGAAGCTGACCACTCACCTCCAATTAGTGTCGAGGCCAAGAAAACGCGTTTGTATACGTACACCTTCATGGTGTAGTGCTTA